CCATTTAGATCATTTTAAGAAAGAGGAAATGACAAAGTTACTGCTCTATGGAGCTAACAAGCAAGTAGAATAGTAATACAATATCAGATAGTAAATGCTCCTAAGAAAATAAAATGGGGCATTGAGTTAGAAAGTGATAGGGGAGGGGTCTTTAGGTTTGGGTGATTGGAAGGAAGTACCACTTGAGCAGAGACTGAGGTGATGTGCTGTGCAGAAGATTTTGCTGAAGAATATTCCAGGTAGAGGGAACAGTAAGTATAAAAACCCTGGAGATGGGATCCAGCAGGAAGTCTGTGGCTATAACACAGGAACAGTGGGGGAGAAAGGCAGGAGATAAAATCAGAGGTACCAGTGGATGGGGACCTTATCAGTCCCTACCCAATGATTTGGATTTTATTACAAGGAAAATTGAAAATGACTGGAGTGTTCCAACAGGTTGTGACATGATTGGATTGATGGTTTAGAAGGATTACCCTGGCTGCTGGATTGTGCATAATAAGTGGGATGGGATGGATGTGTGGAGGGAGTGGGGATGGCTAGCATGGAAGAAGGGAGACCAGGTTGGAAACTCTGACCATGGTCCAGGCAAGTAGCTGGTGGTGAGGATGCAGAACACTTAAGTTCAAGGTAGCAAATTTATGGGCTACACACAGCTATGATTGAGTCACTAGCTTCTGTTTCTTTTTCCTCAAGAAACAAGATAGGAAGTTCTCATCATTAAGATCATCACTGAGACTGAAAGCTGGCCTTCATGATTTAAGCAAGTATAATGACTAGGGGGAATGCTACTTGCAACCACAATTCAAACTCAGTGATGATCTTAATGAGGAGGATCATCACCATAATGACTAACAGTTATTCAGTATTTATAGTTCACTGAGCACATTATTTACATTCTCCATTTTAGAGATGAAGAATTGAGGCTCAAAGAGAATGAGTAACTTAGCTATGTGCTAAGTGTCAGTGCTATGTTCTTAATCATCTGAACATTTCCCAACAATTACTTTCTGAACACTTGTTATATACCAGGCAGTGTCCTAATCACTAAGGATAAAATGATTAGCAAGGAATTTATGGTACCTATTCTTATGAAGGCTCTTTCCCAATAAAGCAAACATACAAATGAATAGGAAAACCTATCAGATATTGATTACAGGCTAGGAAGAAAATAAAGCCAGTGATGAGTTGACGTAGAGTGTCTGGGATAGAGGACACAGGTAGGAGGTACTTTACACTGGGTGGTCAGAGAAGGTTTGTGTTAATGTTCTGAGGCAGGATTGAGCCTGATGAATTTAAGGAGTGTAATTAAGTCCAGTGTGACTGGAACAAAAAGAGAAAGGTACTCTAAAGATGAGGATTTTGATGTTAAGAATTATGAGAAGTCTTTGAAGTTTTTAAGCTGGAGTGTCACATGATAAGATTTGAATTATTTACTGATTCCTTTGGTTGCCTTGTGGAGAATGGATTGGAAGAGGGCAAAACTGGACTGGGGAGTTACTAGAAAGCTATCGCTTTCTACGTCTATCGTGGTCTGCATAGATAATGGTAGCTTGGGCTGGGGTGAGTTGTTGGAATTTGATAAAAATGAATGGATTTAAGAGATGTTTTTGGAAGGTGAAAATTGACATGAGCAACTCGTCACACATGCTAAGAGTTGCAGCAAACTGTAAGCCTCTTGAGACCAGGAGCCATTGTTTGTTCCCTGTTCTACCACCAGGGAACACAGCACTGATAGGAGGCACTAACTAAATATTGATTGAATAAAGGTGTCACTGAGCAAATGAATGAATAAATGCAGCATAATAATTAATCACATCCTGGCATATCAAGTGTCAAAATTAAATTATTGAATTACAGAATAAAATTACCATTAAAGGTAGATTGTCTTAAATTGTCTTAAATTTTGTTAATTTTCATCATTGAAGGTTAGTGGTTTTTTGTTTTTGTTTTGGTTTTTGTTGTTGTTGTTTGTTTGTTTTTTATCCTCTGATTATATAAATGTGACTTCCTGGATTGAAAATCATTTAAACAGAAAATTAATTTCCCAATGTTGTTTTCATACATTGCCCATATATGTTGTACAGTTTTGGAGAGGGATTTAGTAAAAAGCAAGATGTGAGAATAAAACAGAAACTATCACATCAAAAGTTTTTTGAAATGGATTTTTAATCTAGATAATTTTACATTAATACTTTAAAATCAGACTTGAAAAAAATGATGGCTTTTCTTAACTTATGTCTAAAATGTGAATTTTAGGAGACTGGGAGACTCTGAGTCAAGGAGAAAAGAGCTTATTTTTTCTTAAAACCAATGAGAAATTTGTTTTAAAAGTACATAAATGTGTAAATTTTAAGAGATAATTCAAATCTCTGAAGAAAGGGGACTCTTAATTTATGTATAATAAAAGCACTTTGTCAATATTTATTCTATTTCTGTAGTACAGTGTGTAAAGATTTAAATCATCATGAGCTACTCCTAGGCAAGCAGAATGCAACATAGGCGTTTCCAGTGGAAATCTACTAACCTTATACTAGTGAGGAAAACCCAACATCTGCATTGAAATAAGGACATTCTTTGGACTCTTAAGAAATTACAGGCCTCATTTTTGTGGGTTGAAGTGTTTGGATAACTTGATAAGGAGATTATATAATTCCCTTATAGGGATATTTACTTAGCATTGTTTTTATTTTGTAACAATAACAAATGACAAATGTAATTTCAGAAATAGGAAACAAAATGACAGTTATATCCCTGGATGACCAAAGTTGTGAGATCAAGAAGTTATAGAAATATTCAGCTCTCTTTCTAGTTTCACTTATACTCTTAAGATTGTACATATTTCCTACCAGATCTGCACACTCCCTGTGGTGGAGAAGGTCAGCGTCGACCCTGTGAACACTATTCACACTCCTTCATTAAGTTGTTTAGTTAGCCAAAACTTAGATATTTTCACAAAAGTCCCATAAATATTGAACTTTAATCTACTTATATTACTTAAAATTCTGCATGATCATAGTTGTGTATTTTTTTACATACATAAACTATCTGATGTTATTCTTTTTAATATAGAATTATTCATACAAATATTTCCATGTTCTAGCATTATCTAAAGATTTATAATTTTGAAAAAAGAGTACTTATTCAATAAACCATAATGGCAAATCCTATTCCAAATTTATTAAAAATGAATTTAGATTCAAACCCACTCCCCTATATGCATTATTTGTCTTACTCAAAAGTTTATCCTGGAAGAGCAATATTATCTTTTATATTACCCTTTCCCAGAAGAGAAAATTTTTAAATGTGCCTCATTTAATGACTTTAAAATACATACAAAACATTCTTTAAGCATTTTTTGAAAATTGAGTAAAAAATATTTAACAAAAAAGGTGTTAACTTTATGTTTTAAGGAAAAATGTTGAAAATGTTATCCTGGAGAGTCTCACTTTAGGATGACTCTGCTGCCGTCCTAGCTTTCCCTTTGGAGTCTGAAGGACGGGTGTAGTCTCTTAATGTTCTGGCTAGGTCATTGTCTCATTCTGGGAGCTATCAAGCACTCTCCTGAGACTGCCTTGCAGGGTCCAGTAGAATAATTTCATACGTGAACTCTCATACGCAGCATTTGCAACAGGTTGTACAAGGCAATTAAGATTGGGTAGAACGATGTCGATATTCTGTGAGTCATTTTTATATTGTCTTCCTGTTTATATTCTACATTTTGTGAGTATTGTTTAGGACTTTATTTGCTAGTAATGGAACTTTTATTTAACGTAAAAATCTGCATCACGCAATGTATCTTGCAGAAGCAGAGATGAATTTTAGCAGATGACATATTGCCATAAGACAAGATTGTTTAAATGAGAGAAATTTAACTTTGATCATATTTTTGCTTTGTAGTTTTGCCCCATCATTCATTTTTTTTAATTAAAAAAACTATAATGTCAGGTTTGGTTAAAATATCATTGTCAGAAAATTTGAAACTCACTGGGCTCTTAGCCTTAAGACAGACTCTCATTTTAAAAATAAAATAGCTGAATGAAAAATAGTTTGCTTTAGTTCAGAATACATACATAAACTGTTTAATAATTAAATGTGAAGAAACGGTTTTGAGTACCCTTGTGTTACATTTTTTTAAGCTTGACCAGAATCTTTCTAAGAAAGATGAAAATTAATTTTAAATACTGAAGCTAAAACATGTTAATGAACTAAATAAAAGTTGACACATTTCTAATTGTATCCATCTTCCCACCTTTTACCCTTAAGTATTTAAGATATTCATAGACAAAAGCCATCCCTTATCATTTCACTCCAGTCAACAGTGCATAAACTGAAGTTTGGATATTTTCTCAAAAGATGTGGCAAAATATACATTTCAAGTGCATTAACCACTTTCCTTACGCTTCTGAAGATAAATGAATTGCCTGAACATCTCAAGATCTTGAAAGTTTATAGTGATGGAAGCATAGGTTGCAAGTGAATGTGTTGGCCTTGTAAATTCTACTCCTAAAACTGTAGCATCTGTAGCATAAGTGCCTTCTTAATGAAAGAGTGACGCAGTCATAAATTTATGTATACCATGACGCGTGGAAGTATCAAAGTTTCAACTTTCCATGTGTCAAAAGAGGAGAAGCTATTGTTTTAATATAGTTGAACATTATGTTGGAAATAGTAGTCTTTTCACTGTGTTTTACCCAGACCCAGACTGGCAGAGGTAACTCAAAGTAGTTGATCCTTTGGAGTACTCTTTTCCTCCCTTTTTGTCTGTCTTTCCACCCTATCCCCTTAAAAATAAATCATGACATAGAAAACCATATTTAGTTTATGGACGAGAATTCTTAGAATAATTTTTTCTTTGTCAAGCATCAGACTGAAGTTATATTGTTCTGTTATATTGAGTTTCTATATTGATGTAGGGTACTGCAAAGCTGTGTACAATAAATGTCAAGGATAGTGATTTACTGACAACAATTAGGAAAAGAGAACTATAGAATGCACAGGAACATTTTCAGAAATGGGTTTTATTATATTTCATAGGCACCACTCACTTTACTTTTGGTGGGTTTTAATACTTGAATCAAAATAAAATAATACATGAGTTAAGTATTAAACCAACAGATTAAAGCCCCAGGCCCCAAGCCCCTCATTTTGGTTGTAGCTCTTGGTGTAGATGCTATGGTGTGAGGGCTGCTTTCTTTCAATGGCTGGTTGTCATTCAGGCTGGGTTGTCATGTGACTGCCTGTCTGTGCCTGCTGTACAGGTGAGCGGATGTTCTGCACAGCAAGTGTAGACAGGCAGACACATGACAACTCTGTCCAGCCAGGCCCTTGGTTCCTTCAGGTTTCCTTTGCTCATAGACAGATACAATCAGCCTGTTTTCCAGATTTGGTGATTTTGGAGAGTAAGGGGAAAGGGAGAAAAATACACAATATAATTAAACATTAAAACATTATGGAACTAAAAACACGTTAGACTTTTGACTTTATTCAGAAAGTACATTTATACATTTGTTCCAAATGTGCTAACATGGATAATTTGCATAACAGAAAGCTCACATTAAAATTTTAGGAAAAAAAGAGATTAAACACAAGGTTTTTTCTTAAATCCAATTCATATTAGTACTGGCCCACATGTAGTCAGAGTTCAGAGTAATTGAACCAGATGTTTTTCCTCTTTGCAAAAAACTGCATATTTTAATACTGAAGTTAAAGATAAAAACTATGTTTATACATGTTTCTTTTAGTAGATAAGTACAATAACCTTGCCCATGAAAAAGAAAATTATCATTGACATGGAAACAGCAGCCCTTTTCAAAATAATGAGCCTAATATATTTGGCAACACAAGCTGCTGACTTTGGTATCTGATGCTTTGATAATAGGATTTTACAAGGGAATATGTTTTTACCAATTATATGTTAAACAACAGGAACCGATTTAAATGTTTCATTTTCCTTTTAAATGCAAAGTTTCTAAGTGTGGATGTGAAATCAAATTAAAGGCAGTTGTGAGCTTAAGTTATCCACCTCTTAATTAACTACAGGGACATGCTGTGAATCAAAAGGGTATAAACTGGAAGGTTGTTACAGTGATGCTCAGAATGTGTTTTGGATATAGTTAGTGCAACATAGTTACAAAATAGTACCTTAAGAAAAGGCAGAAAAGGCAAATTCATTTCATATCCAAAAAATTAAAACCAGATCCTTTGAAAAATTTTCTATAATTTATATAAGAGCTAATAGTGTTAAATACGCAGATACAAAATTTAATTCTGGTGAGTCGAGAATAATTCTACTATTTTAATATCAATTATCAATTCACATTTGTAGAAGTATTAAGCAAATTCCCCTCCCCTTTTAAAAACAAAAATATCCAAATAGTCAAAATTCCAGTAAGTAGGACTTCTTAAAAAATACAGCACCAAAAAACACAGTATTGTCCACAGATTGTATAATTAGACATTTTCTCAAAGAACTTTAAGAAAAACAAATAGTTTATGATTTATCTTTAATTGTAAAATTCTGAGAAAATAGCAAATAGAAACTTAATGGAAAGCAAAATAGTTTTTAGATACTGAGAAAATGACAATTTTCTACAAATCTGGACTTTTATGCAGTGATTAGATAAGGTAATGTTTTAACAAAAGCTGATAAGTGCCATTTTCTGTGTACTTATGTAATTTCAAGAAAGTAAATTTCTGATTCTGTTTCTGGCCATCACTTCCGAGTAAAGGAACTTTTTTTTTCCTTGACAGAATAATAAACATGAGTAAACTTGTCTGTTATTTAAATAGCTACAAGGTTAGAGTATGCCAAAAACCAGTGCCTTAAAATACTATTGTGTTACTGTTGCTGCATTCAGTGCAACAGAAAGTAATTATAGAGTGATTCACTTACAAAGAGTATAGTGGTGGAAATTAAAAATTACTAAAATTCTTTATAACTTTTCCTCTCTCTCCCATAAATAATTTGATCCAGTTAACTCTGCTCAATTAAAGGAATGATGCATGCAACCTGAAAAAATAAAAAGAAATATTTGTGAGTTTGTATGTTATGCTTTAATATAAAACAGTTTTATTAAGGCAAGATATAAAAAAAATTTTTGATCCAGAAAAACCACAACAGTTTTTCAGGGGGAAAAAAAAATCTCGCTGAAAATGATTGTTCTACTCATAAGGCTTTTGGACACTTTATGTTTCTGATAGATTTTTAAAACACATTTACAGTAAGTATGTGACATATGCACACTTCATAGTTATATTGAACCTGCCCCTAAACTTGTTAAAAAGATGAAAGACTGAAAACCATATTGACTTTTTTTTAATCTCCCAAATTATAGGTTGGATATTAGTTTATTATTACTTAAAATACTAGCTAAAATATAAAAGAGCTATGTAAAAGAGTATGTATTATTATCATACTATGTAATTTTTAGCATGGTTATTATACCTCGTTTTCTTTTTGTCTTTTATTTCTTAAGGAAAAAAATGTAAGAAAAGAATTATCTTCTAAGCCTTCTGTAGTAAAATTAAACCAAAGCAACTCCAGGAAACTGGCTGTCACGCTAAGTCAAAAAATTCAAAATGAAGATTTAATTATTTTCCTAATTTACTTGGTTATCTCTATCTATTAAAACTGACAAAAATTATTCATAAGAGACCTTTGAAAATTGGTAAATATTTATATCTACTTAATTTACAGAACATGAAAGTAAAAAGGGATTTGAATTAAGAAAGTTTCTATCTTAACTCAGGAATTTCCTGTCTTAGGTTAAAGCCTGACCTTCCAGTTATTTTAAGCCAGGATTTCTGAGTGATGGTCTCTTAGTTATTATTTTGACGTTATTGTGATGGGTGGGCTTTTCTGCTTGGAGCAGGGTAAAGTGCATTGTTTATAAAGAGCGGATCCCTTATAGAGTAAGTGAAAGCTTGGCGTCTCTTTAGTGAGCATGGACTCTTGTGGATGAGTGAATTTTTTTACATTACCAAGTTGTACTTTTTATATCTTATAACAGCTTAAGACTTCAACCAAAAAAGTGGGAAGAATTCTTTCATTGGGATTTTTATGTCTAAACTATTTCCCACAGAGTGAAATACTTGGGTGGTCTGTAGGCAAGAGGTGGGGGTAGATAGTATATTTTGGTCTTTTACAAACATAAACATATTATCTGGGCCGAAAGCCCGAATGCCAAGCAGGAAGGATATTAAGCCTATTGACTAACTACAGGAAAGTGATCAGCGTGAAACTTTGTCCTATAGTAAACAATCTTTCTTTGATTTTGAGATCTGTGGCCTAAAAGAAAAATGGGTTTGAAAATTGAAGTACACCGTTTTCAATTGATCCTTTTCCAATTAAGACATTATGGTGTTGAAGCTAAGGCTCTGAACTTCCTTTCTCTTAGATGGCAGAAAAGTCCTTTTAACCCAGTACCTAGTCCAATTTATCAATCGTTCACATGCTAAAATGAAAAATAATTATGAAATTTCTATGAAATGTAGTTTGGACAGACCCTGAAACAATTTCTCTTCATTACCATGTATAATGTTTAATTTTAATACTTACACTTACCATTACATCCAGGGGTAGTTTTAGTTGAAGATGCTCACTGTTGGTTAGTTTCCTCTGGAATAGATTCCATGATCCCTAAAATATTTGTATATCTCCTTATAAAGTAATATGAAAATAAAATTAAACATTTTTCTAATTTACCTGGATATAGATACGGCTATAATGTATATAAATGTGGGCATGTGTACCAGCACATAAACTACAATCCTGCCTTCATTCAGCAGAGCTTTATAAAATGAGCTTTTACTTTTGATCTTTAATTTAGCCCATATAATTGAAAAATAAGTACTATTCCTTTTCATTTGTTAAAAGTTTGCCTCAAAAATAAGTCGCTAGAGCCACATCAAGCACGTGCAGGAACTCCTTGGTTATCCTTTTACAAAGTAATTCTTATATTTCTACTCTTGTACTTATGCCCGGGGCACCCTTATGTCCCTTCTATCTCCAGACCGAAAGTCATCCTGAGGGAGAAAATAGGTGAGGGACCCGTAGGGATTCATTTCTTTGAAACAAAAAGACCATTTAACATGAAGAAAGAAATTGAAATTAAATATACATTAAATGAAAGCAAATTATGAAGTGTAATCATTTCTAGAGTTAAAAAAAAAACAACCAGAAAATTTGAGAAAACTTAAACATTACCAAAGTACCTTGTTAGCTATTCTTCTTCAGTAATTGTATCAATTAGAAAAAATATATTTCTTGAAAAAATGAGCTCCTCTAAGTTACTTTTTTTAAAGTTTTCTTATGTAAAAGAAACTATATAGATTTTTAACGTCTCATTTGTTCTGCTAAAAATAGTTAATATGGAACTCTGCAAGTCACAATAGAAAATGAAAGGATGACTTTACTATATCATCTAAGTGAAAGTAGCTAAATTTCTCCTTGCTGTGTATATTTTAACTAATAATCATGAATATATAAGAATACTTATGTTTTCTTTATACACATTTTGGGGTGATCAGAAGGGTAATTTTTAAAGTAAGTTGTTTTGGCAAAAGAAAGCTTAGGGAACCTTTTATAATAAAATATTTTGCTAAAGAGAACTTGAGTCAATTTTTGAATTGTTGCAAAATGTATAACTTAGAAAAGAATTTGTTCAGGAACCACTGTAACTTTAAAGGACAAAAGAGATTACATTTATTTTTCACAAACCCTGTAGAAGAGATGTTTTCATTATATAGAATTGTTTGGGAATTGAACTAAATGGGGGTTAAGAAAATTAGTGATGAGGCAATAACATTTTTCCAGAACTTTCTTTAAGGGACCCACCTCTAAAGTTCAGCACAGATCACATTGCAATCCAGACTTGCTCTATTATTTTCTCTATTAGGATTTCATTCAGCTTGAGGGTTTTCTTCCCTCCCACCTTCCTCCCCCTCTCCCACCCTCCTTCACCTCCAGGACAGCTGGAAATTGACCAAAGAAAACTTCTGCCTTCGTTTACAAATTCCTTTTTTATCAGTGGGTTTCTAGACAAAGTGCCTTATCATTTTAAATGCTCGGAGAAGTGGAAGCATTGTAAGCTATAGGCAAGAGGGCTCAGCTGAGCAGCAAGTATCAATCACTCTTTGATTAAAAAAAAAAAAAGTGAAAGAGAGATATTTACAGGGGTATCTGAAGATAGAGATTTTTATTTCCTGATTTATTCAATTGCTGACTCAATAAGTTGTGGGTTGGCACTCTTCTCTGGGCAAATCCCATCTGCATTGTCTGGTAGGCAAGACTTGGCAGGTTCTTCTTTTATTGTTAGGTACTATTATTCCTGGTGTTTATATTATAGAAGGAAATCTTCAGAAAAGCACTATCCATATAGCATTTAAAAACCAGCAAGTATTCTTTACTTTGGGAAAAATGACTTCAGTCCTGGGATGTTAAAAGGTATACATACAGCCTTCATCCATATACGTTTTTAAATCTCTGAATTATTATTAAACAATTCAGAAGTAGCCTCATTAAACTATTCTTAAGTGTCTGGAGTGAGTTTTTTCATATTTCATTTTGAAGTGGGAAGACCTTTACACTTAAGAAAACACTCGAATTATCAATCTTCAGAAAAAAAACAAAAAAACAGTGAATCGCTATATACCACACACTTTCGCTCTTTTAAAATTAAACACATCTCTACCCATCACGCATGTACCTCTGTTTCCCTTGCATGTTAACACAAATCATGGACTCCCCACCTAGGTTCCCTTGGTCACAGACCAGGTGAGCAGTCAAGAAGGCCTTACCCGCTGGTCTTCCCTTCGGCAGTCTTTTCTCAGCAGTGTCCCCGAGGGCTTCTTGGTCCCTAGTGTGCAAAACCTGTGAAGAAAAACACTGGATATGAGATTCAAAAAAGGAGCAAACAAATGTCTTCTCCTTGGAAACAGCCCATTTTGTCCCCAGCAGTCCATGGCGTTGCTCTCCCTTGCCCAGTCTAACCAATGTGCAGACTACTGTACAACGGCATTGTCCTGAACAGGTAGTCTGAACACTGGGGCGACGGAGCAGGATCTCCAGAAGCTTCCTTCCATGTACTTAAAATCCTCTCCCGGTCCTCAGGAAAAGCCTCCCTTCCTGCACCAGGGGTTGCATTCAGCTTTCCCCCCTGAATTCTGCTGCGCTGACTGAGACACACTCAAGGGCTGTGATTTCCAGTCTTGACGTGGCACATTTGCTGCAGACTGGGGAACTGGCAATGAATTTAGGACCAGGAAAAGGGGGAGGGCTGGGCTGGAGAGTCCATATATGGGATGATGTCACCCTGGGGAGGTTTGGGTATGCGCTGTGCCGCTGGAGAGACCGCTAGAATCGCCTGCTCTCAGACATGGGTCTGTGCATAAAATGGTACCAGATGTTTTAGTGTAACGTTAAGCAGTCATTTCATCTTCAGGCCAGATTTTTTTCCTCAACTGGGCAGGAAGTGGGCCCCAGTATGGAAAAGCTGTAAAAAAAAAAAAAAAAAAAAAAGAGTCAAGATGTACAGTTCGGCTGTGGCCAACTGAAAGTGAGTTAGTGTAGAAGTACAAATTTACTGTCTGACCCAGGCTAGAGAAGTAATTTGAAGATAGAGGGTAGATAAAAGAGTAAACAGAAAGTTGAACACTGGAAGGCAGAGCTCATTTGGAAACCTTTTTGAGCTTTCCTGTGGCACTTTGTTTTCTGGTATTTCACTCGTCAAAAAGGGCAGATAAGTTTCTCTCTCTCTCTCTCTCTCTCTCTCTCTCTCTCTCTCTCTCTCTCT